TGTCATACAGAGTGAAGTAAGTCAGAAAGAGAAAGACAAATACCGTATGCTAATACATATATATGGAATTTAAGGGGGAAAAAAATGTCATGAAGAACCTAGGGGTAAGACAGGAATAAAGACACAGACCTACTAGAGAATGGACTTGAGGATATGGGGAGGGGGAAGGGTAAGCTGTGACAAAGCGAGAGAGAGGCATGGACATACATACACTACCAAATGTAAGGTTGATAGCTAGTGGGAAGCAGCCGCATAGCACAGAGAGATCAGCTCGGTGCTTTGTGACCACCTGGAGGGGTGGGATAGGGTGGGTGGGAGGGAGGGAGATGCAAGAGGGAAGAGATATAGGAACATATGTATATGTATAACTGATTCACTTTGTTATAAAGCAGAAACTAACACACCATTGTAAAGCAATTATACTCTAATAAAGATATAAAAAAAAAACTAAGGGAGAAATTGCTCTTATAAGTATAGAAGAATGAAAATTTAAATATCTGGCAGCCTTATAATTGCTTTTTTTTTGGTAACCTCTTGAGAGCTCCCATCATGAAAAGAGGTCCTCTCAATCAGTGTTTCTTAGTTGATTTAAAATTTTCAAATTACCAAGCATCCTGCTAAAGTGGGAGTCTAGGTCCAAGTTTTTAGATCTTATTGCTACCTCGTATTAACCACATCATCCTTCTAGTAGGGGCAGCTAGAGGGGTATTGGGCCAGGGGTGTGCATGAATAAAGTAGGATTCCTGGAAACAGCCGGATTGGTGTGATGGGTTCATGCTGCCTGCGAGGCTGCCCAGAGGAGGTGGGCTTTGTAGATTTTCTTGAATTTGAGAAGTCACAGGCTCCATCGCCTTCAAGGAGGCAGCGGTGCACTGGCAAGGCCTGGAGGGCTTCCTGGAGGACAGAGCAGTTCAACAGAGCAGTCAACCCAGCCCAGTGGTAACCTGGCTCGCTGTCCCTGTTTTTCAGTAACCATGGACCCAAACATGTTGAGAAGTGATGTCTTCGTTGATTTTTTGAAACTGGTGCAGCTGGTAAGCTTGCTTTTCTTGACTAAGGTCATTATTTCACTGCAGAATATGTCTCCATGTGTGCTTTTCTGGTCATCAGCCCTACAGAGCCTGGATTCAGGTAAAATACATTCATTTGGAGTAACAGGAAAATGGTTCCTATTTTGTTGCTTTGGAAGTTTAGATTCTAGATGGAAAATTAAGTGTGTCACTTGACCTTTTGCCCATTTTATTTAAGCAGATAATTTTTTTCCTGTAGCTTAAGCATTGTGCATCTCAAAACTGGCCATGGAGGAGAGAACCTTTTACCACTAAGGGCCCCCATGACAACTGTGGGACCCTACTTTTGTAGCTGGGACTTCCAAGTGTGCCACAGTGAAGACCTCAGGACAGCAGTAATAGCCATGCCAGCTATCACCTGTATATTCTCTGCTCCTAACTTTATCGTAAACAGATCATGGAGAAAATTCAGTCTCAACAGAATGACAGACAGCAACTCCCTTTCCTTTGTTGGTCTAAAGAACAACTGGCCTCTTGTCCCCTAGAGGCTGGAACTTGGCCAAGTACATTTGTTTAGCACAGCACCCATTCAGGTGGTACACATAGGAACATTTTTATGCCTGCATGTACATTCTTTTCTTTTAATATGTAGATTTAATTAATTAATTAATTTTTGGCTGCATTGGATCTTCGTTGTTGCACGCGGGCTTTTCTCTAGTTGCGGCGAGCGGAGGCTACTCTTCATTGTGGTGCTCAGGCTTCTCACTGCGGTGGCTTCTCTTGTTGCGGAGCACGGGCTCTAGGCATGTGGGCTCAGTAGTTGTGGCACGCGGGCTTCAGTAGCTGTGGCTCGCGGGCTCTAGAGTGCAGGCTCAGTAGTTGTGGCGCACGGGCTTAGTTGCTCTGGAGCACGTGGGATCTTCCTGGACCAGGGCTCGAACCCGTGTTCCCTGCCTTGGCAGGCGGATTCTTAACCACTGCGCCACCAGGGAAGCCCAGCGTGTACATTCTTTACTGAATGGAAGAGCTTCAAAAGGATTGAAATTGCACAATGACGTGATATTACTGAACTGGCTCCTTAGGTCAGGGAAGAATGATCAGACGTGTAAAAACTGGGAGCAAATTTGCATTCACTCAGTTGTTCAAGTGTGTTGACAAGCTTACTGGTCCAGCCAACTGAGAAATGCCCCTAGAGCCTCCCCTCCCATTGTATAATTGCTCGTACTTTCACATACACTTAATGGTATGTGTGTATATATATATGTATATATATATAGTTTTCTTTTCTTTGAAAAGGTTGTTTTTGAGGCAGTGCTGGTGGTAACATTCCAACAGCACAAAAGGGTCTATGATGAAAGTAACCTTGCTTCCACCACTGGTCTCCAGGGCCCCCCCTCAGAGACAACTGTTGTTTACAGTTTAATGTATGTCCTTTCTACACATTTCCATGCACATGCAAGCATTCATATATATGCATATCTTTTTTTGCTTTACAGATAAGCACACATTCTACCCACTTTCTGAACCTTGTTTTTCAAAGTTTACATCTTGCGAATCATTCTATGCGAATGCATGGAGGTACAGTCAGCCGTGGTTCTGTCATCTTTGTGTGCATTATGGTTTTTGCTTTCAATGCTTTCTAAAAATCATTCAGAGGGTGGCAGTGTTTTGGAGCTTTGTTTTGAGTGTCTTTTTTTCCTGATAATTTAAAGGAGTTTTTTTTTTTAATGTGTTTTTCTTTCCTCCTTTCTTTCTTTCTTTTTAATTGGGATATAGTTGTTTTACACTGTTGTGTTAGTTTCTACTGTACAGCGAACTGAAGTGGATTTCCCTGTGCTATACAGCAGGTTCTCATTAGTTATCTATTGTACACATATTAGCGTATATATGTCAATCCCAATCTCCCAATCCATCCCACCCCACCTTTCCCCACTTGGTGTCCATACACTTGTTCTCTACATCTGTTTTATTTGAGTTTAGTGCTCTCGTGTTTAGTGTTATCTGTATAACTGCACAGAAACCTTTTGCCCCCACTGCATTTTGCAGCATCTCTTCCTGCTTCTTCTGATGAGATTTTCACTTTTGCAATGGCTTTATTTTTCGCTTCTGTTGCTTCCGTGAACTTGGCCAGCTTCCTTTCACGTCTATTTGCTTACCTCTTTTTTGAGACCTTGATTTGTTCTTTGAGGTCTGAGTTCAGAGAAACCTTATTTTGATTAACACAGCCATTGTTTTCATCTCCTTGGTGGCATCACTTTTGGGGGGGATATATTTTTCACCCTTAGGTGGTCATGTTTCTTTCCTCCTTTCTTGCGGGATTTTTGCCTCTGGTTCTCCCAGGTGATCCATCAACTTTGAAAGGGGTGCATTCAGTGAGCCAGCTGATGGCTGACCCACGGTGTTGGGAGTTGCTGGAGCTGAGCTGGTAGAACCTGTCTGCCGTACTTCTGGATCTTGCCTCTCCGTTTCTGAGGACTTTCTCACTAACACTTTGCCCCAGGCCAGAGCGGCATGTCTGCAGTGAAACCCAAACCACAGTTTCTCTTATCAAGATCACCTCTTCAACCATCCTGCTGACTAATCAGCCTCAGAACTGGCTTAGTGGTTAGGAGTGCAGGCTCAAAGTGAGATGGTCAACGTTCAAATTTTGGCTGCCCTACTTTGGATTTGTGTTTACGTAGTCTCTTTGTATCTCAGTCTCCCCATCTGTAAAATGGGGAGAATGGCTCCTCTCTTAGTGTTGTTGGGAGGATTAAGTGAACCAGTGCTCTTACTTAAATGTAATCTGGCCACTGTTATAACACTTATGAGGTCCTCCTGCTATTACCAACGCCAGTCCTTTTTCCTCTTCCCAGCCTGCTGAGAGATTGCTTCCGGCAAAGATGGCGGGCCAGCACATCTCTCCCCAGATACTAGGTGGTGTCAAATGGGCCCAGAGTTGTGCTCCCAGACCTGCCTAGTGCCTCCTGATGAACTTCTCTAACACAGCTTCTATGTGGCTTGAGGCCTGCCCACTGCACCTTTGTACCTCTGCTTCCCTCCTCCCCGACCAGACCCAATTTTCACCAGAGACAGCCCCTCTGAAAACCCAGTCGTCCAGGCTTGGGACCATTTTCAGCTTCTTCAAAGATGGTGAGGTGTGGGTCTGCCAGACCGTTAAAGCAGCCCAAGGAGCAGGGATTGGGAAGTCTCCCCACCTCAATATTATACAGACCCCACCTAAATATTTTCACTGCCTTTGATAAGTGCCTGGCCTGCAGTTTCCCAGTGGTTATTGCCAAATAATCACACGTTCGCGGGCGTGGCTCTCCAGGGCTGAGCAAGTCCAAGCACATCTTCCTGTCTCTGGGCAAGGACGCACTGTGTGAGAAACGTGAATACATGTGACCGCGTAGGAGCCTTCCGAGGAGCCTCTATCAAGGATGGCCAAAGGCAAGCTGCAGTCATCAGAGAGGGTTGCCTCTACAGGGCATTCCGTCTGGGCCAGACCCAGTGCTTTCTGTGCGGTATCTCATTTATCCCTCACAACTTGTTGAGGACGGTGCTGTTAGTGTCTCTTTTTCAGGTTAAGTAATTTGTCCAAGGACCCACATCTTCATAAGTGGAAGCCCAGCGAGCCTGGATCCACTGACGTCATGAGATATTTCTAGAGTGGTGGCAGCCCCCCAGCCCCGCCCCCCACCAGGTACCCCTTGTTGTGTGTGTCTAGCCTCCAC